TAGAGTCCCACGGGGTTTGGATCAAGCGCTGGTGACTCCCAGAGGGCTACGGCGCTTCATGGAGAGGGTTCGACCTACAAAACGTTTTACATTCAGAGGATTTGGATCAGCGTGTTGACTTTCCAACAGGTCATGGCATGGTGGGAGGGGTTGGCCTTCCAACGGGGTCGCCTTCGAACGGTTTTGACATCCAACGGGTTTGGGTCCAGCGTGTTCAACCTCCCAACGGGTTGATGCGCTCCTTGGAAGGGTTCGACGTCCAACGAGTTCAACGTCCAACGGGTTTGACACCCTAACGTCCAACGGGTTTGACTTCCAACGGGTTTGGGTCCAGTGTGTTCAACTCCCAACGGGTTAATGCGCTCCTGGGACGGGTTTGACATCCAACGGGGTTTGTGTCCACCGTGTTCGACTTCCTCATCCAACGGGGTTCGACGTCCAACGGGTTGATGGGTTCATCCAACGGGTTCGGGTCCAATGGGTTAATGGGCTCCCGGGACGGGTTTGACGTCCAACGGGTTTGACTTCCAACGGGTTTGGGTCCAGTGTGTTCAACTCCCAACGGGTTAATTCCCTCCTGGGACGGGTTTGACGTCCAACGGCTTCGACGTCCAATCGGTTTGGGTCCAACGGGTTTGACTTTCAATGGGTTAACGGGTTTGCGTCTAATTTAACCGCCTATCCTGACCTCACTGCCCACCCCTGTCTCTAGCCTCACTCTTTTTCAACCCTAACCCTGACTCTGACGACCTCATCCTCCCCCCCAGCCTCTACCCTCACTCTTTGTAACCCTACCCTCTGTCTCTTGCTTCACCTGCCTTTATATATATATACGTCTTTCATCCCCCTGTGGTGCCTCTCACCCGTGATATCACTTGACCCCTGTACCCTCTGACTCGATCTTCCCCCTCTCTGCCTCCTGATATATCCCTCGCAGCCAACAAAACATCTCCATCAGCTGGTTGTGCTCGATGCCCTGCCCCTCAACCTTCTGTCTCAAAAATTCAATCACCGCCTCCTGATCATCTGCATTCACATTGAACTCCCTCAGCTGCTGTGACACCCATACATCATCATTGCCACTGTCGGGATCAAAAATCCCCTGTACGGACACTGCCTCTGTGTCTTCCAGCTGTTGCATATGGACTGCGGCATCCCGCATCGGAAGCACCCGGAATACTGTGTGTATTTGATCTTGCTCCGCACTGTCATCATCCATCTCTTTGCCTCCTGGCTCTCCTCGTGGGGACACTGGTACAGCTCATGGTCAAACTCCCGCTTGCCACTTGCACATATCAAACACTGATCCTTCCACCTCTGCGCCTCTTCCACTAAAACCTCCTCATCCATCAATGCCCTCTGCCCTCGCTGCTGATGTGTGATGATGAACCGGCCTTGATGGACATTCTGTTTGTGGAATGTCTGTCTGATTGTTGATGGGATGCCTCTGATGTCTTCACTGATTACCCTTCATTCTGATTGCCTGTGAACGTGTAATCCGCCTCCTTCATGGCGCTCACCACGGCCCACTCTCCCACCATCTGGCTTGCTTGGTTCCTGGCCAGCATGTCGGATGCATTGGCGTCCAGTCGCACCGCCTTGTGCACCACCATGAACCGTGCCACCTTGATGATCCGTGACAATATTGGTGGGTAGCTCTCCGCGTCGCGCCATCCATACTCCCCCCGTCCCAGCACCGCCAACGCGTCTACCAGCGCGCACTCATAATCCTCCACCTGAACCCGCTGGTTCAGCAGCTCAATGCAAAAATCCAAACATGCCATCTGGATCTTGGTTAATTTGAACTTATCTTCTTCTTGATCCGTGACAATATTGGTGGGTAGCTCTTCGCGTCGCACCATCCATACTCCCCCCGTCCCAGCACCGCCAACGTGTCTATCAGCGCGCACTCATAATCCTCCATCTGAACCCACTGGTTCAGCAGCTCAATGCAAAAATCCAAACATGCCATCTGAATCTTGACTAATTTGAACTTATCTTCTTCTTCTGACTGGGTATCTCTCTGTCTCTTCTCCTCCTCCTCCTCCACCTCCTCCTCCTCTTCTTCTTCCTCAGTCATCTGCTCATCCATGGGGTCTGGGCTGATGGAGTGTCGCTGGTCGGCTCCCTCTGCGGTGGCTACCTGCCATAATACCCTCCATGTCTTGCGCTGCCGTGGTGTGAACCGGTACTGTGCGCTCGTCCATTCATGCTCGACCTGCGTTCGGGCGAAAAACATCAACATCTGCTGCCATGGCCTCACGTGCTCGGCGATGCTCTCCTCGTCCATGTATGCCTGCAACGGGGTGTGCCGGGTCTGGTGTCGCTCTGTGCGGATGGCCTCGATGCGGACGAAGTGGCCCAGCCGTGTGATGACTCGCTGGCTGGTACGGGCAACCTGCCCCATGGCCTCCCAGATGGCCCTCGCGGCCAGTTCATTTGGGCACGTGGTGTCATCGTCGGGCCGCTGCACGCAGTTGACCAGATCATTGGGTGCGATGTTGGTCAAGTACACCGGCCATCTGGTCCGCCGCAGCCATGGGTTGGCTTCATCGTGCTCCCCGGCCTGGATGACATTGCTGGTCTGCCGTTGCTGTTCCTGGTAAAACCGCTCCTTCTCATCAATGACCTGGCTGGCTCTGTTCTGGTCTGGAGTGCCGGTGTGCTTAATAGTCTCCTTAGTCTGGATCTGTATGTAGTGGGAGCCCTTGCGCGATGCAAATACCTGCTGGAACTGCACCTTCTGGCATGATCTGTCCACCTCATCCTGTGCTGCCGTACGCTTTTGTGGCGCTGTACGACCACGGCTGGGATATGGCGACCAGCTGTGCTTGTTCTGCCAGTGCTTGCGCATGGTGTTCATGTTCATGTTCCCTGCCACATACTGACACTGGGGATCCCGCTGGCACCTGTAGCCATCTTGAATGGGTAGTTCCGGGATTGGTTCATTCAGTATTGTGGGCAGTGTTAACTGTGTAGTATGTGGGCAGTGTTAACTGTGTAGTATCTCGAGCCACATTGTCCCACTGTTCAATGTTCTCCTTTATCTGCTGAACCACCGCATGCTTTAGCTGATGGGCCTTGCCTTTCAGATGCCGTTCAATCTCGGTTGGCCACACAGCGTGCTTGCACCGGCGGCATATGATAATGAGGTATGATTCACAGTGGATAAATAATCGATGTTCCATGATGTCGATGCTGGGTCTGTCTTGTGCATTGAATATATATATATTTCCTTCATTCAGTGTCTTTGTGTGAAACTTGACAGATCTGATCTGGTGTGAATGTTTGTTTTTCTGTGGTTAAAATCACTCCAGGATGAAGCCTTTCAGTTTTCTTATATGTTTTGCTATTTTTATTTACTTTGTTGATCCTGCACCGCTTTGCACCGCTCCGTTGCCTGGGTGAAAATATATATATTTAGTTGGGTCTGGTTGGGTTGGTGGCTTACCCCATCAAACATCGCACCTCAACTCATTGACTTTGACACCACAATGTAACCCCTTCCCGGCGGAATTATCGCTTTTGATTTGGATATGTTGTATTCCATATCCACTACGGCCTACATGCAAAGTTTGAAGTAATGGGGTGGCTGGCTGCCGCAGAAGGGAAGGGAAGAGGGAGCTCGACCGCGACCGGGCCACTGCGGGCACGCGGCGGCGGGAGCGGGAGCACGCACGGGCGGCCAATCAGGGCGGGAGAAGATCGGACGGGGGCGCGTCGGACGGCGCACTAGGGTATAGGAGTTAATGGGCTCATCCAACGGGTTCGGGTCCAATGGGTTAA